TGTCCGATTTGATTTGAAAAGTGTCCGATTTGGTTTGAAAAGTGTCCGATTTGATTTGAAAAGTGTCCGATTTGGTTTGAAAAGTGTCCGATTTGGTTTGAAAAGTGTCCGATTTGGTTTGAAAAGTGTCCGATTTGGTTTGAAAAGTGTTTGAAAAGTAAAGTGGAAATGATATATAATTGTAACAAGCTTTGCAATCTGAAGTGAGACTAGCTCTTCACTGCAATATAGGCATGATTCTTTTTACTTCAGGTAAGCTCTCAAATCCAAGGGCATCAACTGAAGCGATTGATCCCGTTGATAAAGGAGTCCATACGGCGAGCTCTCCAAAGAAAGCATGTTTGGCCGAACTACAAAATTCGTTATCGACCTCTATTTCCCAACCCTTTCCTTCAACCTTCTCCTCCACTCAGTGAGTGTTCTGCTCAGTGATTTCGATGACCCTTGTTGATAATCAATTTTGCTTTATTTTTATTTTGAAATCTGCTATCTGACCCTTACAGGTGCCTTCGCACATATCAAAATAGAAGGTGGACTAGAAGTGACCGTATTGCAAGCTTCTCGTTTGAGAACCGCTCTTGTTGAGAAGGATCCTAGCAATTATGTTGTCTACTGCACAGCTACTTTGGGTGCGGGTTGAACTTTTTTTTTGGTTTAGTGGTTTTTGTTTTTTTTTTGAGAGAGGGTGTTAAATGGTTTTTTTTCGTACGGGTCTTTTATGGAAATATTGAAGATTATACCATTTCAGATCATCGCCCTTTTATGCAAAGTTCCACGGATGTTGCCCATTCTCTGAGTGTAATGCTAACATTTTCACGTCATGATATGAACACTCCTATCGGGCTTATATTCGAAAAGGTTAGTATAGAATGCCATCTGTTTCATCATCAGTTTCCAAGGCACGTTCGGCTTGGTGGGGGCATAAAATGTTACTCACCGAAGTCTGTGAAGGCTACCCTGTGAAGACCTGTAAATTCTTGTAACCGCACTTATTCACTCGTAGCATTTATCAGCTTCGCAAAAGTTTACGGGTTTCGCTAATATGAGACCTGCTGGTTAACATGAACCAGCAAAAGAGCAGAATGTCCCCTCCAGCCTACCCGAACAGCGTCGTTTTCACTGTTCTTTTATCTTTATTTTTATGGTTTATCGTCGTTCAGTTCTTTTGAGAGATGTTTGGAAAAGTTTCTTTTTTTAACTAGTATAGTGAGTTTGTATTTTTTTTCCTATGACGAAAGCTCCCAGATACCGTGATTTTTCGTCGTTGAAGTTAGAAATAGTTAAAAATACAACTTGGGGTTCGTTGAGTTTTTGCCTCCCAAGCCGTTACAGGATGAGTAGGGGAGGCAATCTGTAGGTAAACACGTCATTATAATAGAATAAGGGGGAGTAATCTATAGATGAAGGTATATGCTGCCAACTAGGATTTGAATCCTCACTTTATTATTGTAACATGCTTAACAATGAATCACCGCCTTTATTCCATCCGGGACCAACGTCATTTGCACTATCAAGGGGTGACATGGCATCATCAACTTGATATTCCTCGCTGCAAGGTTCCAGAGACATTTTCGTGTTGTATCTTCTCGCGAGCATTCGAAGGAAGGAGAATAAAGAGGAGGGAAGAGAGAAAGAAGGAAAAGAATGGAAGAGGAAGAGAATGGAAGGAGGATGGAGGTTTCGCGGTTAGCATCTTGAGACGTTACCAGAGGTGAACCCCATGTTGCTCTCTTGGGAAAATGATGAACAAGGACGGCTTTGTTCCCAACTGGACAACTCTAGCTTCACTACTGGTGGTGAACATAGCTGCCAGTGAGTCAGTGGGGGCGGGCCAATGTCCCTATAAAGGGTGTTGCGAGTAAGTGAGAGAATGGCATGGTTTTTTGTTTTGTATTTTTTTATTTTTCAAGTGATAATCTGTCTCAACATAGCTTTTTCAGTCGGCTTTGAATGCGAATGGAAGCAGACCTGTGCGTGTAGCTATCGTTGAAGAGGATCTTCCAAGAGGCGGCTTTCAAACCAGGTTGAACTCTGTACACTCATCTCCAAGGACACTGCATGCCATATGCGAGGCGGATCGGTCCCCAGCTACATTAAAGGCGGGTCCGCCATGACCTATGAAAATGCAAGAGGTTATGTGGGAAGGTAGTGCGGTCCGGAGTGGACAACCCTGTGCCAGTTTCGCGGCGGAAAGTTGTACGGTAAAGGGATTAAGGCGCAAAGTTGCTTCAGTGGTACATCCCTTTTCCAGTGACTCCGCCTCCAGACTCCGCCTCCAAAGTCGGCCTTCCAGCCAAAAGTAATGCTCCCGGGCAAGTATCATGGAGTGGATGCATTCAATGTCTCTTGTAGAGTCATAGGGTTCATTACTGGGAATCAGCCGACGGGAATTGTCCCAGCGCGCGGTCTTTTCGGTCTTTTACCTCTACAGTTGTTTGAGGCTAGAGGAGGCCTGACGAATGCGTTTCCAACGTTCCCTTTGGCATTTTCTCTTCATAGATGGTTCACTTGGCGAATTTTCTTCCACATTTCTGCAAAATCACTCAGGCTTTTTATCGCGGACCGTGCCTTTAATGGGTCACTTTTTCCGCTCAAAAATGCACGGGAACGGGTATGTGGAGTAGTGGTACCTGAGTGAAGTCTCCATACCCCGCTCGCGCTAACTACAAGGTGGAGCAGTTGCGTCCATACCAACATTCTGCAGCGAAAACGCAGTCAGAGAAGGATAACAACCAGAACTGAGAGCAGGGCACATCAATGGTTGGGGATCTTTAGTCGAGTCCGTACGACCCCCCCCCCTCCGGCCCTCTGTCCCTCCTCATCGAATCGAGCCGTCGAGCGGGGAGGGGGGGGAATAGCACATGTGAAACAGGAAAAGCCGCGAGACAATACGACCCTCCCCCTCTCTACCAATTTTCAGATTTTCCCAACACTTGCCACTTTTTCCGAAATTTCCCGAGAATTTCCCAGCTTTTTCCCTTTTTCCCCAAAAATTTTGCTGTTTGCTGAGCGGGCGGGGGGGGGGTGTTATATAGTACGCATGAAACAGGAAAATCACGAAAAGTCAACCACCACTCCCACCACTCCTAGAAAGGCCAGAAAGTAAATACGACCCCTCCCCTCCCAACAAAAAATACGACCCCCCTCTCCTGTCGTCTAAATACGACCCCCCCGCTGATGGGGATTCCCCAACAACGATGTTGATTGAGAGTGCGCAGACAAGTATAGCGCTTGACCACTGTTAGGCGTGTTGCTGGCCATGCGGTAGTTGTTGGACTTCCCAATAAATAAACAGTTTATATTATTCCGAGAGAATTATTCTCGTTCCAGGAGAGGAGAATTATTCTCGTTACAGGAGATACACTTCTCGCCATCAATAACGTACCTATTCGAAGCGAGCGGCAAGTTGTACGTTTCCTACAGCAAACTCTTGGAGACCTGTTGGTACTGGTGGATCGAAACCTCGACGACATTGACGATGAAGTTCTGAAAGGTAATCAGTCTTCTTTTTCTTGGTGTGAATTCAGTAGAGTCGATAAG